GCTGAAATATTTATGGCCCTATTTCTTTAAAATTGAAATTTCTGTGAGCTTTCATATATCAAAACTGCATTACTCAGTGTCATCTGCAGTACACTGTTAAGACGATTTTTTGGACTTAGGGTATAACTGCTTTCTTCCAGTAGCAGATGTATTGAATGTTTTGATGTAGCTTTTCATGAATGAATCACAAGTTATAAATGACCCTTAGAAAGAGCAATTGCTGTCAGTATATTACAATGTGAAGCAAAAGCAAGATGCATAGTTACTATACGTAAGAAAGCAATCCATTGAGCTATTCCAAATGCATGGAACAATAGTTATTAATTGCAAATACTAGGAAGAAACATACTTCATTGTTGCTCTTAGGAAAGGAAAATCCATTTGGTTTTAAGATTTGTGTTAGCTTCCTTGAGTAGCAGGATCAAGGATTCTTGATATAGTTATACAGTGACAAAAAAGAAATTTAAAAAAGTAAAGGAGACACAATAAGGATACATTTTTCATAGTCACTGTTAAAATATAAACACCTAAAAGACAAGAAAGAAAGAGGAGAAGTCATTCAAATGTCTGGATTATCAATGTTTTGATTTTGCTCAATGTCTCTTTTCGCCTGCAAGGATGATTACATATGTGCTTCACATATTTAAGAGGATGGGAGTATTCTTTGACAGAACATGAAACTATATAAAAGAATGGGTAAAATTGGAGACATAGTATGTTATTGTTGGGTGGGAATGGTATTTATCTATGTTGGTTCAATATGATTTCACATGGGAACCAAATGAGATTTGCGCTTCCAGTGCTTTCTGTCACAAAATCATGCAATGTGTATGTTGCACATAACCTATAAAAATATATCCAATAAAAGTATTTTTTCTAAATTTCTGAAGACCAGTTCTTGTATCCTTCTACCTGCAAAAACAATTGCTTTAATCAACACACAAGAATATAAGATTAAAAGCAAAAGAAAACTGAAACTAATTCATTCTAAATACTTCTTATTTAAGCATATATGCATGAAGGATTTGAATTTGATGTGATTTCTTAAACTCCTGGGTAGCTCATATTCTCAGAGATTTTGGTGAAATAGTAAGGTTGTTGTAGGATAGGCAACATTAGCAAGCAATGAGGGAATTTTAAAAAATTCATCGATTCAATTGTTTTTCAGTAAGACCAAGATTCTTTCTTGAAGATTTGGGTCCCAGTTCAGCAAAGCACTTGGAAACCTATCAGTAAGTGATCTGTTAGATCAAAATGTTGTTTCAGTTAGCATGTAGAAGCAGACTCACATTTTTGAAACCATCTAATTTTGACTGCTGTTGTTTTCGTATAGCAAGCACTAATGCTACACACTTTTTATCAGGAACTTCTATTTAAAAATGATTCTGCAATAGAACAACATAAAACCAGCAATTCTTGAGAACAGTTATTATCAAGTGAACAGTGTGAGACTATGGCTGCATGTGTACTAATAACATAAATATGACTGGGAACATTCCTGGCATTGAGGCCAAGATGACAGAACTGCTGGTATCAACCAATAGTACCAAACTGTTTTAAGGGCAGTTGCATGCAACCTGTCTACAGGGGAGCCCTCCCTGGAAGATCCTTGACCCGCAGGTGGGAATTGTTTGAGACTGCCAGTTATTATGCACCACATCCACGCTAGGGAGCTTTCTCTCTGTTTACAGGATAGGCAGTTGCATTCCAGCACCTGGGAACCTTCTTAGGCATGCCTGAAATGGGTATGGATATACCTTTTATGTCTCTTTTTTTATCTATCTAGTAGGAAGCAAGGAAGATATTGGACAAGGCTCTAGGCAGAGTACTCCGTTGGTGCAGAGACATACAAATACTGTTTTCCTTATCCAAAAAAGATCTCTATTCAGTTTTAAAAGAGAGCGTGTATTTCTGTGATTCTTAGTGTATTTCTTCTGTGTTTAAAGATAGAACAACCATTAACTGGTTGATACCATAACTGATAGAATTGACAAATCCAGCCTACTTTGTACAACATTTAAGTCTCAGTTCAGTCTAGCACCAGATCTTTGAGACAGTTTACAAGATATTAATAGACTACTAAGGAGTAGTCAGTCCATTAGAGGGGTTCAAACTTGTACTATGCAGGCTTTTAAGCACAACTTTGACAAATGTCTCTCAGGAATAATGCTTTCCTATAGCTGAGCCTCCTTGGGACAAAGGGTAAACCACACACATTCTAAGGTTCTGTCTTCTTTTGATTTTCTATGAGTACAAGGAACAATGAAAATGAAAATAAATCCCTATTTTAAAACCTTTCTGAAGTAATGCTGAATGCTCACAGAAATGGGGAGTCCTTTAAAATGAGCTGAACTTATAACTTCACTGATGTCTAGTGACACATAATTCCAAAGATGAATTATGTTTCAGGCCAAAAAAAAAAAAAAAAGGAATTCCTGAAACTTATATTAAGCTTGTGGCCTGCAAATTTCATTAACTCCCCCCACTAACCTTCCTAGCAGTCTTATATTAAAAGGAGTAAAGAAAAGTAAACTGTTTCACTTCTCTATTCTAAAATAATTCTTCACTTTATAGATTCATGTGACATGTTAGCCTTTATTTTTTATTATGATGTGGTACCAGACACAGATTCATTCTGAAGTGCAATAAATAAGAGAGGAATAAATGTCAAAGTTTTATAATAATAAATGTCAGCATTTTAGAATATGTACCCACAGAATAGCCTGAAGGACATCAGGGGTCTCAGGGCCATGAGCTTCTACAACACAACAACATGTAAGATAGAGCAAGGAAGGAAACGTATATCTCCTCCTCTGTTTTATGCAGTTGGAAATGATGTCAAATACTTGCAAGCCATTTTCTTTGCCTCTGGAAGGATATATAACTACAACATGGAATGATGGTTTTTGTCTTAATTGATAACTTTTTGATTTCTAAATGAAACATGACAGGTAAACTGGAATGTTGTCTTAATAAGGAGAATTTCAGAGACAAAACAAAACAAAATCAGTCAAAAACACTTTATAAGAGAGTTATGGCAAAAAAGTACATCATATTGATTCAGAAATTACTAAAGCAGAGTACAGGAGAGTTCTTCAAATTGAGATTTTAAAGTTTTCTTATATTAAATTGAGGATAGATAGTACAACTGTCACAGCAGTCAGAGACTAAAAATTCAGGTTGCCTTACAAGTGAACAGTAGAAATGAGCAAATGTTAGGTACTTTTCTGGAACAAAATGGAGTACTGCAGAAATTATTGTTAGGACTGAGACATTACGTAGGTAGAAAATAACAGGTGAAACCATTTCAGTAAGTAGGATGAAAAAAAGACAGTGCAAGTCTATTTTAAAAAAAATAAGGGAAATTTCCTAAGTCCCAATGGGTGATATCTGTTTAATATTCAGAGAAGCATGACTGAACGTGCATGGATTTTTAATATCAAGCTCTGGTTTTAAATTTAAAATTTATTGTATTTGGCAGAGGTGACAGTGATTTTCAAAGATACTTGAAAAAAGAGGAGCTGCAACTCTAGGCAGCTCAGTAGTCCTGAAAGCAGACGAGTTTTATTAAAAGGCCATAGGAGTTATAAAGACAAAGAATATATTTTATATCACATGGTCCCTGAAAGAAAGCTCTAGGACCACCAGTTTGAAGAATAATAAAAACTAGCATTTAGCTTATAAGAAGCAAAGGAAATGTTTCGTGGCCACCAACTAGTTCTCTAAGTTTGTAGGTATTCTGTTTCTTAGCTACCCCATCAGGCTATAGAACAGTTTTTAAAATATTAATTTTTTCTTTCATTTTGAAAGGAACTGTTTTTGAAGTCATGCAAACATCTACATTAGAAGTGCTACTTCTACATTCAAGCATTTGAGAAGCAATTATTTCCAGGCCCTCCCTGATTTCGAAGAAATGGAACATGAGAAAGAGTAGATCATAATGATAATGTTAAGTTACCATTAATTTTTTAAAAAACCCCACCCTTCATCTGCCCGTTCCTTTTTCTGTTGGAGTGTTGGGACACCAGCAGAAGTGTGGCCATACAATCAGGTCAGCTAGTAACATAACAGGCAAAACCCACAGCTCTTTATTTTCAATAATCAAGTTTATCTTCCTTCATGTAAGTGGCAGATGAGACTGAGAAACAACAAATAATTAGATGACTTGGACTTTGGTTCGGAAGTCAGCCCTCCTGAGACCCAAACATGTACCCTTCTGAGTACGTACAGGGCTCAGCAGCTTGACAAGACACCTCTCAAGGCCAAGACCATACCAAGCCCACTGCTAAAACCAGTGAGTCATCTGGATCTAACATGTGTTGCTGAATATTGATTCTTAGAAACTATATAGAGAAAAGCTGGGTGTGGACGTGAGTATAGTGCAGCTACAAGAAAAGCAAGGAGACAAAAGTTCAGTATGATGAAATGAGGAAAGAGAATGGCTGTTTAGGAATACTGATGGTTTCTCATTCTAACGAACTTCCTTTTCTACTTTACTTTAAGAAAAAAACCCTTCTCTTCATTTTATTTATTACAATTATCCTAGAAGAAAATCTACCAGATTATGAGAACGAATCAAACAATATGAAGTGATACTTTGAACCCCAATTATTGCTACATTCTACCATTTGAATATTCTAGAATATAAACCTGAATTTCCTGACAGAATAAATAATGCGAGTTGGTAACAATCATATTGACTCAATAATGCAAAAAAATGTCTAGGAGTTTGGAAGGTGTGAAAAAAAGAAAGAAGGAAATAGAAGTTTTTAAAAATAAACACAGAAATGAGAAATTCCAATCTAAATCAGTTTAAAAAAATCTCAAGATTGTTAAGGCACTTTAAGTGATAGCAGCCTGTAGTAGCATGCTGGTCTTTGAGATATATTAATGATCTCAAAATTCTTTTGGAGCTTAAAGGAATGGGATCAATACCTCAAGAAATGTGCTTGAAAGACCTTATGTGATTTCTGAAAATACACAGAATTTACTTAGTCCTTCCCTACAGTGTTTACGTTAAAAAAAATTATGAGATTAGCATCTGGAGAATCGACTGTACTTGTAACATATTGGTTTTATATATATGCATATGTAAAATATGATCATTTGTGATGATATATACATGGGTAGTACATTTCTTTTATATGTTTTCTTATATATTATGGTTGGGTTGAAAAAGAACTTCGGCTATTTTTAGACTGCAAATGTTGCTATATTTTAGCAGTATTCTGACCTTTTCAGTCTGATTCAGTGGTCACTGTTTTTCTTCAGTTGCCATGGCCTCAGAGCTGATCAATGAGTCAGTCAGGTTATGTTAAAAGAAATAGTTCAATTTTATGACACCAATTACTGGTCTGCACAGAATATTGCCAAAGTTTCTTCAGGTTATTTCACCAATTACTTTCATTCCTAGGCATTTAAGAGTTGTTCCTCCGCTGCTATATTTCTACCAAGTTTCAAAGTGTGCTACTTTGTAAGTAAAAGACTTCCCGCTTCCAGTATCCTTTTTTTTTTTTTTTTTTTTTTTTTTTTGTGGTAAATTGACATTGTTTGCAGGTTTCCTAACATAAACTAGTGGTTAGCTCCTGTGATACCTTCCATGTGAAATTATACCCCGTACATCAAGCAGTGACGAATTGGCAGTGACAGCAGCTGTATTTTCTTGCAAGTGGTAGAATAGTTGCTGTTCTGTAACGTGGTACCAACTTTTCTGTACTTCAAACCTATGGTCTGGAAAACTGATGACGCATCAAAGAGGAAGATACAACTCTTCCATTTAACCCCTCACAGAAGTCTTATTCGGCCCCCCCCTTTCATTTTTTTTTTTTTTTTTTTTTTTTTCCAATGCTGAAAATACTGATTTTCAAGAAAAGAATCTGAAACAGTGTCCCAGATTCTTTTCCTTTTGGAATAAACTATCTAACTGATAGTGAACCTCCCACTGCCTTGTTATGGTGAGTGAACATCTCTTCTTTTCCCCTTCTTTATTATAATTATATCAGTTCAGTGCACACACATCAAGACTGAAACATCAAGAGCTCACTATTGAAAAAAGGACTTACAAATCTGAGTCATGCTGTTTCCCTCCACACTTTTTTTACTGCGCGCGTAGGATGTGTGTACTGTAGGCAAGACTCACAGAGAATATGGTAAATTTATACCTTAAAATCTACCAAAGAAGAGGAAATTGGGGAGAAACACACTCTTTGTGCCACTCTCAGAATAGGAACAGGGCTACATGAATGCTGCTGCTTGTGGCACTACTGGGCATACTGAGCAAGGAAGAAGCCTCATGGGCTCTTGACCCTGCTTTAAAAATTGTTAAGGAATGGCAGTGCTTTACAGAGGCAGCACCGAAGACTGTAGGCTTGAGAACACAGAACTTGTGCAAAATGACCACTCATCTGTCCTCTCCTGAAGTCAACTAAGAGGTGTCAGTGGGATATTAGACCAGGTGAGATTAGGAAAGAACTGAGCCTGGCTATTTAACATGTTTTTCAAATGTGGCTATACAACATCCCTTTTTAACCTTTCCCTGTTACACTCTATTGTTTTTACTTCCTGAATAGCTGTGTGCATAGACTGGAATCAGACACGAAAAAGGATGCTAGATTGAGAAGCAGCAACAGAAGAATTTTGATAACTTCTTGTTCTTTCTATAACATGCAGTATTCTTGCAGCAAATGCTTTTTTAATTTGTTTGTTTGTTTATTTGTTTCTTTTTCCAATTCTGCTTTTCCAAGATCAGATCGTGATATTCCTAGGCAAAACCCTAACCCTATTGAAATTAATGGAAGTTTTGCCATAGACTTCAAGGGGACCAGGATTTTACCTTGCATATTGTGGATATAAGTTAACAAGACTAATGATGTAGTCCAAAGATGTATTAAAAAGCAGTACTTTTGCAAATAATGTACTGTTCCTTTTCAAAAAAACTTTTCTTTCTCTTATTCTGAGGATAAGAAATTAGTTTCCAAATAATTTTACTGTTGTTTAGTATGTAAGAACTTCTGCATTAATATTCATAATATGCATAAAATTTGGCCTCTAAGTTTTAACATTTATAAGACTTTGGAGGATGTGGCCACAAGCATGTATGCACATGCCTATGATGCAAGTGTCACAGCGATGGAAAAGTAAGGCTGGAGTGTGGTATGTTTTGTGCCTTCTACATTGCTGAAACAGCATAAGGAGAAGGAACAAAAGAGTGAGCATAAGAATTTAGCAGTACTACTGATAATATGATTTATATTGATAATATATACATGATAATATTAATTACAATGGAAAATATTGTAAATTGCAGCACATGCAAAATATACAGCACTGAAATGTAATGTTATAGTCTTACTGGCATCAGTGTGAGATCACCTGTAAAAAGAATGCAGATTCCTAACTTTCACAGAATATCAAAAGCATGCTAATAGACTTTTGTATCTGTCCAACCCATTACGTCTCTCACGCACACACTTTTTCTTACAGAAAATGTCCCACAATGAAGCGTATGAAGCTTGTGTAGCATAATACAGCATGTGCTAAAAAGATTCCATTTTCTGTGGAATTGTTTGTGAACCATTTGCAATTTCTCATCTGAATTATTTTAAATTACTTGCTGTACAATTTTGACTTAAAATCCTTCATCTGTATCTCATTCAATAGAAGTTCACTTTGCCTTGAAGTAATTTTGATTGGAGATACATACCGCAGGGCCGCGTGTTCTCTGATTGGATGAATGTCTCAGTAGTAAGCTATCCCTGTATATTAATCTTAATTTTGTTTTCTGCTGCTGTTTGTCACGTCTAATGTATTAATGGAAACAGAGAATGCACACAAGATGACAAACCAAGCGTACTTAAGAAGTGAAGAAAACTCTCCAGCTGCTATTTTTTTGTTTCAGTTGCCCAAAAATGATACATGAACACACACAGACCACGTGTTAGGAAGCTAAATTCAAGATTAAAGGCCTCACTCTGTCTATAAAATACAATGTTAAAGCTGATTTTTTAAAATATCTTTCCTTACCATCAGCTTTGCTTCCCTCTTCCATCAAGAGCTTTGTAATGTTGAGAAAGCCTTTGGCAGAAGCCAAATGCAGAGGCCTGTCTCCAACTTCACCACTTGCATTCACATCAGCTCCAAACTTTAGTAAGAGGTGAGTTACCTAAATAATTCATCAAGGCTAATTAAAATATCATATGAAAATAAATATTTTGACAAAATCAGGTAGAATATTGCATTGGGTAATACTATAAGTGGGCATCTCTTTAGAGCTAAAACAGGGAGAGGAGATTCAACAGAAAACTCATTTTGAAGTTACATATCTATAAGACTATTAAAATTCTCAAAAGCAAGTGCTCATTCATTCTCTAAAATGTTATGTATGGTAAAGGGCTAGACACAAGATACATGTATTTGTTTAACTGACCAGTCAGCATAATAAAGCAAATGCCCTCAAAGTCTACAAATGTCAGAGCATTAACTTCTTTCTGATCAGTGTCTCTTATCACAAGAGGACCGTATGAGCTTTTAGCATAATTTCACAAGACTGTGACTATTTGTTCAGAAGTGGCTTATGGTAAATAAGCAAACTAATCTCTCAGTCCAACATGCAAGCAGTTTCTTAATGTTACTGGATGATGAGGTGCATATATATGAAAAGAAGGATCTCAGGAACCCATCCATGATTCACACCCTTGCTATCACTCAGCCACAGAAACAGAGAATTTTCAATCATCATCTGTGCGTCTGGACTCTGTTCTTTCAAAGGCTTTTCCTACAACAACTCCTCAATGCACTCGAAGTAACACGTCACTGAAATGAAAAATGCACTCTACCTAGAGGTCATCCTTTGAAACTTGAAAATATCCCGGAATACATGCTTTTAGCCAAAGAAAGGTATAGGGAATGACTTGCATAAGCCAAAATAGACCCATTATTACATTTCACATAAAAGGCCTATTCAGGGCAAATGACTGGACTGCTAGATTAACCGTATGTCAATTATACTTTAGTGAAAGAAAGAGAATTGGGAGGTTCAGTGCCAGCTTTGGTCAGAATGTCAGATTATGTTTCAATAAGTCTGTGATCTGTGTGAATGAAGCAAGCACAGTTGGGCTTGTCACATGCACAGTACCTCATCGAAAATCCTACTCTCTAAATGATATTTTTTTCTGTTAACTTAAAAATGGCCACAATTTAGTTTGTGAATTCCAAGGAAAACCAATAGAATTGCCATTTAATTATTACTGGGAAGTGATGTTCACTTCCTTGGAGAGGCTTAAGATACTATACTTACATTCCTTATGCACTCTCTGAAATGTGGGATGAATAAGCATCAAATGAAATATGCCTCTGGGTCCAAGTCTGTTTATAGGTTATCAAAGCTAGCCAATCATTTGTTTCAAGTGGTCTAGAGATGAAGATACCAATTTTTGCTGGGGTCTAGCACAGAGGATTAAAGTGTAGAAATTTCCTGTTGATACTCAGACTCTTAGAGCAACTAGAGATTGACTTAGAAGCTTAACTTCCATATGTGAGGCCTTTTCATGGCAGGACCCTCTGGAATGAAAAGCAAAAATATCTAAAACAAAACCTATAGTTGCCTCAGTGTTTCACTTCTCAGCTTTCTGAAATTCCCCCATTTAGTTACCTGTTCATGGCCATAATATGCAGCAATATGCAATGGGGTGAAAAAAACTGCATCCTGAACATTCACATAAGCTCCATGCTGCAAAAGAATATCAACAGCCTAGAAGGAAACAAACAGAAAATTCCAATTAGAAGCACTATATATATGTGGTCAACTAGTAAAACAAGATTTCAAAACCTTACGTCACCAGTTTAAAGAAAAGCAAAAAGCCCCAAACAAGCAAGCTATAAAGGTGAAGAACCGTGTACAATATGTAAAAGTGATTAACTTATGGTACTTTAACTGTATGTCACTGATGTTTTATAAATAAGCCTGAAAACGTGTTTTCCAGTAAAAAGTATGATTTATGAAGTAAGAGGCACAGAAATGACTGTCTAGAGTTTCTCAGAATAACCTTTAATTTTCTTTTAACCATTATGCACAAAGAGCAGTAAACATATCAGAGTTTTTAGAAGTAAAAAAACCAAAAAACAAAACAAATAAAGGATCCTTTTAAATGTAAATGTGTGAAGGTAAATCCTCAAGCATAATTCCCTTAGTGTGTAAACACTTCTTTGTATTTTAGAAGATAATAGCCTTTTGGCTTCAATAAACAACCCTAAGTGTTTTCTTTCAAATTTCCACTTTTTTGGTCTTTCAGGAGGCCAATGTTTTCAGTCCAATGTGCCTACATAAAGCAGGGTCTCCGAGAGCAGGCGTCTCAGGGCCATGTCCAGTCAGATTTTGAATATTGTCCAGTCTCTAAGGATGGAGACTCCACAACTTCCCAACTGGAGGTTCCAGTTTCCCAGCTGGAAATCTGTTCCAGTGTTTGAGCACCCTCACAGTAAAAAAGCCTTTTCCTCTGTTTAAATGGGATTTCCTGGATTTCAGTTTGTGCCCATTGCCATCCATCCTTGTCACTGGGCACCTCTGAGAAGAGTCTGGCTCCCTCTTTACTGCCCCCCTCATGTCTTCGTACACATTGATAAGATCCCCCCAGAACCTTCTCTGCTCCAGGCTGAACAATCCCAGCTCTGTCAGCTTCTCCTTGTATGTCAGATACTCCAATCCTTGAACTGTCTTTACAGTCTTTTGCTGGAGGATAGCAGTTAAAAAATCTGCTTTGAGGCTAGTATCAAGTTGTGTGCTACAGGGGTCTATACTGGGACCTGTCCTGTGTTTAATACCTTTAGCAGTGGTCCTGGGGGCAGCAATGGAGTGCACTCTCGTCATGTTAGCAGCAAATTATGTCCTCAGTACACTTGAGGGTGGGGCTGCCATCCAGAGGGACCCAGACAGGCTGGAGAAAGGGACCAACATGACCCATAGGAAGTTCAACAACAACGAACACAAAATCCTTTCCTGCAACAGCACAGGACTGCCTGGAGAGGACCTTGGGACCCTGGTGAACAGCAGGCTGAACTTGAGCCAGCTGGACTGCCTGGCCGCAAAGGCAGCCGGCAGCTTCCTGGGCTGGGTTCACAGTGGCACAGCCCGGAGAATGAGGGAAACAACTGCTCCCCTTTTCCTTGCATAACCAATTTTTAATTCAAAACAATACTTCGAATACTTTGAACAATACTCTTACTTCATAATTTTTCTTCAAATTCTCTTATAAAAGGTTTAGTCAGAAGCTTTTTGAACATTCAAGTCAATTACATTCACTTCAAAGACAATTAATTAAGCTACTCTGAAGGTTAGAAGGAGTCAACAAAAAAAACCATAAGACAGACTACATAAGGACTTTGTATTTTGGACAAGGGCAAGGGATAAGAAATCATCTAAGAAAATAAAATCAATGATTATTGACTTTTTAGCAGGTAAAATTTAAATGAGAAAGCAACTTCAACAATTAAGGCCTTTGCACCAGTGCTAGCCTCTGTACAGCCTTACACTAAAATATCTAAAGAATCTATCATGATTTTCAGAGTTCCTTTATTAATTAAGCTATTAAAATAAAAATATGATTAGTGGCAACCATTTGCCTAATTCCCTCCAATTTAGCAAGTGTAGATATGATCAGTCATGTCCTGCAAAGTGTCTTTGCTTAAATTATTACAACTCCTAACTCTCCGTGTATCTGTAAGAATTTTAGAACAAACTCTATCAGACTGAATTAAGATACTGCTAAAGGGAGTTCTGAATGTTTTAAATACAACTTGCTGATGAATGTACAATTAATTGTCTTTCTTAGGAAAAAGTCTACTGAAATATTTCACATACGCTCTTCTGTAAGACATGAGGACAGACATCAGAGCAGCAATAAGCTTTGCAGGTTCTTTTATCTTAGCTGTTCCAATCAGGCGAAACACAGGTCCCAGATAAATCATTAATGAAAGATGCAGGTACTGGTGTATCAAAATATAATGCTCTCACCAGGATTGCTTTTGCTACAGGGTAGCCAAAGAATGAGATTTTTTTTACATTTTGCCCTTAATGGTAGAATAGTTTACCAGAATAGTTTAATGTTTTTGTGCAATATTACTAAAGGATAACTGTTCTGGGCAAAGAGATCACCGTGAATTTAACAATACCATAGCTTTAAAATGTTGCATTTACTTTGGCTTCTTCTGGCTTAAAAATGGGTCACAGATAAATTTTCTGCACAGGACATTCTTGGGGAGAAAGCACAGCTGGAGAAAAGTGTTGTCGAAGTTTGTCATTGTTTTCAGACATGTTCGCATCATCAGGTTAATGTAAGCTCCTTTACTGAGCCACAACTCAATGCTTTTTCGCTTGTTTTAGCCAAACACCTCATGCTCCCATTCATGGGCTGTAAAAGTCTTCTTTCACTTCATTCAGTCTGGACAGTTGGCAGCTATTAAAAATAGCTATTGAATTCAAAACTTGTGAGTTCCAGTCCTCTTTGTCACTGGTTGGATCCTCAGACAGGCAAATTTGGAGGATCTTTGGTTCCTCATTATCTTGCAGCTTGTGTAGTTGTGTATATTGATGCTGTGTGAATATAATTTCTACATTCCTGGTTCTAGAATGATCCTGAAAAGGTCTGAAAAATTGGTGTCAGATAAAACAAAGGGCTGGGAAGATGCAGGATTAGCATAAAATGCAGGGATTGAAAAAAGAAAATGGTGACTTTATGAACCATTTAAATAGGCTCACATAAATTCAATTTTTCAAGGTTTCTTAAATCATTTGAACATACTCCTATTACTAGTAAAATTCCAGTGAAGACAGGAGGTGACAAACATGCTCATGTAACATGTGACTTGTAATGAAAAGGGATTTATTACTATAGAAAATCTATAAGATGGGACTAACTCACTTTTCCCCAACAGGTCCTCATTACAAACACATTCACACTTCAGATTCTCAGGTTTGCAGGTTACAAAAATTAAGTAACATTGGTTCATCCTGCCTGCAACCCTCAGTCCAGTTCACACATCTGTAGATGTTCTAATCTCAGAATGACAACTTTAATTTACAAAATGAAATAGGCAGTGATACCGGTTTTCCAATGCAGTAATGCTGAGCAACACATAAATGTGTATGAGAAGCATGCATTATTTATTTATCAATGGGCTGGAAACATTTAATGTTTTCAAACTAGCAGACTTAATGAGAGATTTATTAAACTTATTTGGTGATGTTTCTAATACTGTCATCAGTTTATTTTATAATTTTTCATTAATTTTTCATTCTTCTCATTGAGAACTGCAATTTCCATTAATAGATTAAATAAGCAAACAGCATAGCTTTGGTGAAGTAAAATACAGCACTAAATCATAGAGCAGATGAAATATTTATACACCACACTGGCTCAAATGAGTTGGAACATCCCATTGATGCTGATGGCCTTCAGTATCCTAATTTCAGAGAACTGATCACTCTAGTGGTTTCAGGTGTGGTGATGGAGCGAAAGCCATAGACTGACTCTTCAGGGAAATGGGGAACAAAGCAATTTTTTCCCCCAGTTGTCTCTATCCTTCTCTTAAATATAGTTAGTCCTCTTCTGCGGTAAAAGACTGTTGCATAGATTGATGTATATACCTCTGCTATTAATTCACTTAATGGTATAAATAATTATTTCACTTATTGAAATTAGGAAGATGACCAAAAATCTATTTTCTCTTTCTTAAATTTATTCTGTCTTTTAGGGGGGTTGAAAAAATATTCCATATTTCCATGAATATTAATGAAATTGTGGAGAAAATAAGCTATTTAATCTAGCAGAGGAGATTCTCAGCTGACTGAAAATTTCAAAGCTATATAAAGAAGGAAAGAAAAATCCTTCACTAGGACTGTAAATCTTCAGTCCCCAGACCAGCAGATGAACCGAATGAGTTATATAGCGTCCCACTCCATTTATGGAGAATACTTCTGATAAAGATCTGATCATTCCCAAGGAAGAAATAAGAGTTTTTTCAAAACCAGTCACAATAAGTTATTTCTTATCAAGTTAATGGTCTTATCCTTGTCCAATTCTGAGCACCCTTATTTTTCAATAACCTCAGTAGGAGCTAAAGACATGAGATAAATAGCAGGCCTTCCTTTGACATTTGCAGGACAAGGCCCAGACATTTTAGAAATTACTTGAAACTCCAATGCAGAGAAAAGTACTTTGTAATTCCCACAGAGGAAACATTAAATACATACTCCATAAAAGTGAAAAAGATCATTAAAGCGTTAAGACTCTGGTTAATATCCCCATTATAATACTTGCACAGAACAATTAGATGTGGTGGATCCTTATCTGGTTTTTAGTGATAGGATACAAAAGGAAGGATTTCCATTGAACTAATAAAAAGAGCTCTATGCATACTTGAAGGGAAAGTCACAATGCCCTGTGAGCTCAGGGATGTAATGCTACAACGCAAACACCCCCATCCCCACTTGCTCTCAGCCTTGCTTGTGCACAGACGCACCGAGGAGCCTCGTTCTTCCACCTGGAGAACTGACCTTCAAAATATAAATGGTTAGCTTGCCCTGTTAGCATGCTTCCTCACTCACCATCTTAAACAGATGCTACAGATTGATTTGTCCCCTGATCACTGTTGGAGTTGCTGACTGAAACACTGAAGGCTAACAGCTTTTTTGGTTGAGTTCCGTGGTGTGACCACCCGTAAATTGTTTTAACCTTTTTCAGCTTAACCTTCTTCACACATAGACTCCCTAAGTAACGCAAGGTTGTCACCAACTGTGTCTTTATGCATCTTGTCTTTAACAGGAAGCACAAACATACCTGTCAGATTTAAATAATTTTGGAATTAGTTTGGAGGCTGCAATGTAAAGCTAAATTCACCAGTATCCTTGGTTGCCCCTGATGGCCCACAAGCCTGGGAAAGGTCCCCAGCAGACAAAGTGTACATACACACACCCCCCTATATACACACAGACACATACATATAGGCTATATATATATATATCCCTTAAGAAGGTGAAACAGCATAACATATATTTCCATTAGAAATGGGGGGAACTTTTACATTGACACAGCCCTCTCCTGGGACTTACCCTGTACTCATAACACTAACTAGTGCTAAAACTTGCTCCGGTAAATCACTGCTTCCTTCATGCTCACAATTAGGCAGCCTTTTGCAGCCAACCTATACTAGAAAATTTACTAAGGGTATACAGACCTTACTAGCACTTGCAAAAGTACTGGTATGGAAGCTGTTCAGAGCTGGATTTGCAAAGCGTGGCTTGTTTCTCCCAGGGACCACTTTACTGTTGGTATCATTGTTTGCATCAGTGTCCATAGACTCCAAAGAACATTGAGCCCTGCAATGACTACTGTGATGTTAGGTACTGTCTCTATCTATATATATGTGTAGTTAACACAGAAGGTGAAATACTCAAATGTATTAAGTGTAAAAATTTTCAAAGGGTGCCTGGTGCAATTTTCAAAAGCTTCAAAGTAATTCAGATATGTAATTAACTTAATTGGAAATTAAAATCCTGACTGGAAATTCCAGTAGGGATCTATCAGCATCTTTGAAAGCCTAAACAAAATAGAAAATCTGGCATATTGTTACTGACCCACAGATCTGATAACTTCTTCAGACTAAACAGAAAAAATAAGTCAAAGAAAATACAAACTGCCTAAACAAAGAAGTATCATCTTCCCTCAGCTGAACTTCAGTAGCTAGCCTCATAGTTTCACAGACCAGGTATTTAAATGTTGGCAAATTTCTTGAGATAGTACAGAAAATTTCAAAGAGTTATCATTTCCCCAATGAAACTGTCCATTTGATAAGAAATGTCTTTTCTCTCTTTCAATATATAATTACGTAACTATTACTATATGCATATGTATAGTAAACAGTGTGTGTGTGTCTGTGTGTTTGTGTGTGTGTGTACAAGCTGGTTGACTGAAAATGTAGCGGAAGAAATGTCTGTCTTTACATCAATAAGCTCAGTGACTGCTGTAACTTGGGAGTTCATAAGACATGTATTCTTTCTTGCCATATACATACGTAGAGGTTCTTCTTTTCTGTTGAAAATTGCACACGTGCATTGTTCTAGTCATCCAGCCAAACTTTTATACTTGAAGTGAATTTATAAGTCTAAGATGCACAACTAAATTCACATCTTAAAGGCAAGTATTAATATAATTTATTTTTCCTCCTTTGTACTTAGTTATTTTTTCTCGCATTTCTTGCTGATTATCTGTCTTTAAAGAATTCTAATGTTTCTGTCTCCATAAATTAGTCCAGCACTCTGTTAATTCTGTTAACACTTTTACTCAAGCAGAGGACAAACTCTTTGCTTGCTTAATGGACCCAAAGGAGATAAAAAGTGAAGTACCTGAATTCATGAGTACATTTACAGTCATAAGCCCTTCATTACCCAGGTAATTTTGCACACCCAGTACTTTAAGAGATTAAAAAAATAAATAAATTACATTGAGTGAGCTGTTGCCAGGGTGACAGAAATGAGATGATGTGTGAAATGACTGAACTGAGGTGGTAAATGATAAGAAAAGAGATTCATGACTGACATCATGTCTAGAAAGGGAAAGGCCTGATTATAGGCATCTAGGGAATCTCATCCCTCTCTTCCTTCCTCTTCTCCCCATAGTGATAAGTCTCCAACCCATAAGAGACTTATCAATATGGATGTTTGAGATTCATGCTATAAATGACTTACCCTGACAACAGTTTTCTCTGTACTAATCTGAAGTATAAAATAGCTCTAAACTGAGAACCTCTGTCCCTCTCTGAAATGAAAATCACAGAGCTGTGAAGCAGAGCCCATGACACCTAGAAGAGGGAACAAAACTCTTTTACTGTGCTTCCTTCACACTCAGAAAGACAGTATTTGGAAGCTTCACTCCACATCCAGGTTCAGAAATCCTGACGTGTATGAGTGAGTGTGTTTCATCATGTATCTATTGGTTAACACTTCTGATATTTAGAAAACAATGCCATTTATTGCCAAGACTTTAAAGACATTTATATAAAGGTAAGAGATGTACAAACAGATCTATGTCCTTTGTGCATATTTGTTCTATGTAAAAATATATGCACAGATAGAGTTTTCACACAAGGTCCAAAAAAATTAAATAAAATTTAGCTGTACTCAACCAATTCTGAGTTTTGTTTTGAATGGCATCAATCTAAAATAAAATGACCTGCTAATATTAGCACTCACTTATATAATTTCCTGTATAGAAAAGGAGAAACATACCTTATGATGACCTGCAATTGTGGCAATGTGAAGGGCTGTCAAAGCTCCATACCCAACTTGCTGAATGTCAGCTCCACCATGCAGCAGCGCTGTTAACAGTTCTGCATTGTCCTGAATGGTATGCATTTAAAACATGTTATTTCTGCAACACCGCTCTAACAATTGCAGGGAGGGAGCCAGAGAGAACTGTATATATCTAGGCCTCCCCAGCTATTACACTGCTGCATTTCAAGAAAAGGGACTGACCATGACCCCAGGAGCACAGGAGTGCAAGGAAAGGAGTGAAGACTTGTCCTGGGCACCAGAAGTCTCTCTTTTGCTATACTAAAGCCTGTATCTTTAAAAACCAGTCTCTATTCTGATTTTATGATGTCTTTAAAGATCTCCCAGTCTCCAAGCCATTATTAAGTACTCACAAAAACTGTTTAAATGTCAAAACATTACAGTACCTAACATAGAAGAAGGGCACCTGAGGAGCTCCCAGGTTAAATATATAGCTTGTATGACAAATTCTGAACTGTGAGCTTATTTTTCATATTGTTTCACTTCTTTCCTGTCATGCACACAGTTTTTGCTATGACTTTTTCCAGGTATAACAACAGCAATGGGCACTATCAAATGATAGCAATAAAAATAAACTTGAGAAACATGTTAAGAGTTGTAATGCCCAGGCTATACGACTGTTAATAAATCCTCCTTTACAAATAGTGAAGTTAAACACAGAGAAGTGAAATTATTTGTTTGGGGACAGTGGCAGAACTTGCAGGAGAAACTAGGCTATCCTTCCCACCATCACTTGTTCTAACTGCACCAACTACAGCTATTATAATTTTCACTTCTTGGGGATCTGCCTTCCATCATCATCCAGCCCAGAGATGAGCCTTCCCCATTCATTTTTATTGTTTCCTAAGAAGAAATACACACAGCACAGGAGCAAAAGAGATGTTAAAAGCTCCAAACTTCCTTCTCTACCTCTTTGAAGCAGACACTAAAGGAAGGGCAAGAATGAATCAATGCCAGAGAAGCAGCAATCAAAATGTGTCTGTGAAAGCATAACATTTGTTCATACTGAAATGGTTTTCCTATTTCCAGGAAATATTAGGAATTTATCTTTGATGATAATGGACAGTAAAAGTTTATACCACGTTTCCTATCAAATAGTTTTACATCATGAAACATGGTACTTGGTTGCATAATGGATCGGACATTAAGCAGCCTGGGAAGAAAGGCTGAGTTTGAATTATCTAGAAATGTTCTGTTCTAATTAGTGACTTGGTCCAGTTTTCCTAGTTCTGTTTAACTGTTATGAAATGCCACAAAATATTCAGATTATACATAAGAAGAGGTCAAGGAGTTTCACAAGACTTGCCCTGTCTCAATAGATATTGCTTTATTGTTTCTGAGGTCTCTCTAGGCTCCTTTGTATTTCACTTAGAAAAGAACTATAATACAAGAAAAGCTGTCATTGGGTAACTCATGGTAAATCTTAAAGTCTTAAAATGTCACTTATGGGAGAAATGTTATACTGCATTTTGTTTTAGATCCCAAAATTCACACTAGTTTGCTTATCTTTGTGCAACCTGAAAAATATATTGGATGTTGTATCACATCAGTTGAGTGATTAAGTAAGTTGCTGATATAGATTTTGCCTAAGTGGATGCAAGAGATTTATCAACTTTACAGTGCAGGGAAAACAGGCAAAACAAGATTTGATAGGAAAATGAAAACTATTCTCAAGTAATGAAAACATCCTAGAAATACATTATAAAAGTCCATTTAAACAAAGAAATTTTTATGTTCAGCTAAATTATTAATTGGAAGCCATTCCCTGAGATTGACATTAAAGAAAGGCTGGGAAATTCTTTCTAAGGCAATTGGCTAATTATGTAACATTGCACATGGGAAAAAGTTTATTTTATGATTGCTGTAAACCATCGCTTCATCCCATGATGTATAAGATTTGATTATTGTCATCATTTTATAGCTTGCATAGCTAGTTGGTACCAGTGGTTGTAAAATCAAACTAACAAACACAGGAATTCCAAGACATAATGCAAGATATAGCAAGTGCTCATATTATATTAACTGGGAGAGGAATGTAGCTTAAGGTGTAAATATACAGAGTTAAGCCTTGGAGATGCAGAGCATAAGGCATCCATGGCATCCACAGCATATCATAACTTTCAGGTATCCAGCTCCATGATTGAGTCTTCAGCCTGTTTAATGACCACCTCTCTACACACACCTGGGGCACGTTCAGAGTTCCAGTGATGGGATTCATGAAATCCAGCATTTGGAACAGAAATTGGCTTAGCTTGTCCATAGCAAGCATTGGAAATAGGAGGGTGTCTTTCCTCCCACCTTCAGACAAAATCACAAAAGTTGCTGCTTGCATCTCTTCTTTCTTTTCACTCCTACCCCCCTTTACAATAGCTAAAACATTGCTACATTGGCGGTTCAGTGTCTTCCTCACACAAATAATACTCATGACCATATGCCACGTGTCCCAGGCAATATTGTCATTACTCAACCTATATTAGGCTTTCCCTTCACTCTCCCTGTTCTAATGACCCTCCCATTCTTTTCCGCGGGAAAGCTGATTGCATGCTCACTCCAGGACAGCCATAGCTTGCTGATTGGCAATATGAGTTTTAATTCTCTCCAAGAGAGACTTTGGTCTTCTCTCTGGACAAATATTCCAATTATCAGATTATTACCTAATAGAAGGTGAGCTTTTTGAGGAGAATAACTGTGACTGTGACGATTCCTG